CCCCCCCCCCGCCATGCTGCGGGGCTGCCCGGGCAGGGGCTGAGCAGGCAGTTCCCATGGCAATGCCCCATCCCCTGGGCAGGCGGCAGGGGAGGGGACGCGCTGGCCTTGTCCCCGCAATGTGGTGGCCGTGTCCCAGTGTCCCCCGCAAGCCAGCGGGCCCCGCATCCCTCCCCGCCACCGCCCCTCCTTCCCCATCGCCGGCGATTGGGTGGCTGCCGATGGCCTGATGTTGGGCCTGATCCTGCCACCGCGGCGGCGGGGCTGTGCGGGGGCCGTGCGGGGTCTAGATCTGCCCCTGGACAGGCTGGGTTGTGAGGGGGTGAAGCTTTTGGGGTCCCTCTTGGTGGTCCCCAAAACAGGCAATGGTCCCTGTATGGGGGGGGTGGGGGTGCATCCATCACTGTGCTCCGTTCCCTGCTCTGCACCCCAGGGGCAAGGGCAGGAGTTGACCCAGCCCCATGAGGGCTTGCTGTGGGTCCTGTCGCCCTCCCCATGGCCCATCCTGTCCCCCCCTGTGCCCCCCCAGGCCCGATGCCCACCCGTGAGCCCAATTGCACCTGCGGCCGCGGGCCCAGCGTGGCACAGGGGAAGTGGTACGGGGTCCGCTCCTACCTCCACCTCTTCTACGAGGACTGCGCTGGGGCCAGCCCTGATGGGGACAGGGATGGGTCCTCACATCATGGAGCCTGGGCCCCCCTTATCTGGAAGGTAAGAGACCCCAAAACCCCGTGTTTCCCCCAGAGATGCACCCCCCCGCCCTCACCCTGCACAGGGTGCATCCTGCCATGACATTTGGGAGGCTGATGCCGACCTTGAACCCTGCGCCCCTGTCCCCAGGTGAGCCTCTCCACGGGGACCCTGTTCCTGCTTGTGGGGGCCGCCGCACTGGCTACGGGCTCCCTGGTGCCCCCCAAGCTGGAAGGGATCAGGGAGGAGGAGTTCGTGGTGCTGGACGTGCAGGCGGTGCGGTACAACCACGCGCTGGGGACGTGCCGGCTGGTGGGCACGGCGCTGTGCGCGGCGGCCGGGGCACTGGGCGCCATCGGGCTCCTCTCCTGCGCGCTGGCCCCGCGCCGCCTCCAGGAAGAGGAGCAGCAGCTCTCACCCATCCTGCGTGGCAGCCCCCCATTGTGCACCCCCACCACCTTCACCCCCCTGGGGACAGCGGTGCCCTTCGGCATCTCCCACCTTCACGGCGTCCAGCCCCGCCGGGACACCTGATGCCCAACACGGGGTCAAGCTGTGCTGCACACTGGGAGCTGGCTGGACCACCTGGACCTGGTTTGTGGCAAGCATCTGGCTCAGCCCTGGCGTGGCCACCACGTCCCACTGTCCCCCACAGCCCCACTTCTGCAGCTGCTGCCACTCAGTAAAGACGCCATGGATCCCTTTGCCGGTGGCTCAGTGGCTGTTGCTGTGTCTGTGTCAGAAACCCCGCGAGGGTTTGTCACGGTGGCCACCGCCAGCAGCACCTCACTTGTTGTGTAATCGGATCAGAACCGGGGAATGAAACCATTTGGGCCCAGTTTCCCTGCGGGAGGTGGCTGAGGCCATCGCTGGTGGCTGAGCACAGCGGTGGGCACCCAGGGGACACGTGGCTCTGTGTGCCCTCTCCTGCCAGCCCAGCGCAGCCCCGTGCACCACCTGCCCTGGCCACCAACATCTCAGCTCCCCTGAGACACCCCGGGGTGCTGCTGTGTCTCAGTGGGAGGGTCCTCGCTGTGTGTTGGGCCGTGCTTGGAGACCAGCATCACTCTGGGAGCAGGGACCACCTGGAGTTGTCCCTGCCACTCGCCCAGGGGCTGCCCACGCTCCCCGGTGCTATAAGGCTCCTGTCCCATGTCTCCCCGAGGCCAGGACCCTCCAGGGCCTTGCATCCCTCCCCCAGAAATAGGGAGGCGTTGTGCAGCACACCCAGCATCCCTGGTGTGCAGGAACCCGGGGGTACCCACCCACTGCTGGCACAAGCCAGCTGTAGTGGGCACCATGGGGGTGCCAGGGCCCCAAACTCTGCCTCCCATTCCTCCAGTTTGGCCCTGTGTCCTCAAGAAAGCCGAGCGAGCAGCTCAGCCTTAGCCTGGCACACTGGCTTGTCCCCACGCTGCCTTCTGCAGCAGCAGGACCAGAGCATGACCATGCCATGGATGAGCTGGTGGCATCTGGCAGCTCCTCCGGTCACCCTGGGCCAGACCTGATAACACCAGCCAGGCTCAGGGGCAGCAGGGCAGGAGCAGCCATCCCCTTGGCCAGGGACCAGGGTGGAGAGTGGGAGAAGGGCCTGTCTCCATGCCTTTGTGGGGTGCTGGGGTCATGCACAGGGAGGTGGGCAGGGTGGCAGAGCAGGCAGGGGGAGGGAGGAAGAGGAGCTGGGCCAGGCCGGGATGTTGCAACTGGGCTCACAGTGGCATCAGCCACAGCAGGGAGTGACCTGATGGGACAGGAGCTGGTGGCTGTGTAGCTCAGCCTGGATCCAGCCCAGGAGGAAGCACATGGAGGAGCGTCAGGACAGCCCTGAGCCGGCAGGGCCAAAACCCCACAGCCCCGTGTGCCACCCCTGTGTGCGGTGACCCCAGATTGCCGGCCACGGTGGCCACCAGGCTGTACATCCTGCTGGAGCTGTGCCCAGCCCGTGCCAGGCTGCACCCACGCTGCAGCACCTGGGAGGCACCTGGGTATTCGCACACAGCACCCTTTCCCTGTTTTTGCTCTTTTGGGGTAAATAAAAGATGTGTGACATTTCCCCGTGGGCTGTTCTCTCTACTGAGTCCCAAAGGGACCTGGCCATCCCTCTGTGCCAGCACATGAGGGAGTGTATTGTTATTTAACCCCTTGGATGGTGCTGGACTCGCTGATCCTGGCTCTGGCCAGGGCACACTGGCAGCCAGAGCTGGGCATCATCTTATCACAGCAAGAAAAGCCCACGCTGCAGGAAGGGTGCAGTGATAGCTCTGAGCCTCCCGTCACCGTAAAACCTCAGCCCTGCCCACTCTCCAACCTGCTGAGCCCCCATCGTGCCCCCCCTCCCCAATCCTGCAAACTTCGGCCTTCGTGTTCCTCCCAAAGGGCTTTGAGAAAAAAAAAATATCACTCCCAGCAAGGAAGCCACAGGAAACTAAAAATAGCCCTGGCCCGATGTGGTAAATACAGCCGCCAGCCCCGTGCTGCCAACAAAGCCCGTTCCCAGCCCGGGGAAGGCGGCTGCGTCAGCCCGGCTCATCGGAGCGTGCCCGGCTGCTGGAGGCTGCTCGGGGAAAGCGGTGATGGCCGAGCCTCCACCGATGGGCACCGTGCCCTGGCTGTGCCCAGGGATCTCCTCCCGGCAGGCGGGCACCCGGCCCGGGGTGCAAAAGGGGCTGGGAGGTCAGGCTATTTACAGCCCCCCTCTGCCCACCGTGCTGCTGATGCCGGGGGGGGACACCACGGAGAACCCACAGCACGTGCAAGTCCTGGCGTCTGACCAAAGGCGGGCAGATGGAAGGAGAGCAGCGAGCGGGGCACGCAAGCACCGTTTGGCTCCACTCCTGCTCCTCTTCCCACGGGGAATGCCGGGCACGAGGCCACGCGGGTCAGTGACCACAGAGCTGGCCTGGCTGCTGAGGGGACGTGCCAGTGCCAGGCCACGGGGTGCCACCAGAGCAGATCTGGCATCCCCGGCTCCACGTCACGGCCCTTGCCAGCACAGGGGAAGGGAAGGAAGTGTGTTAAGTAACTGTTTATTTTACAGTTATAGGGTTTGTACAAATCTGCATTTACACGGGTATGTATAAGTCTTTGTACAGAGTAACTGAAGCACCCACAGCGACCACCTCCTCCCAGGACCTTCCTCCCCCGGGGACAACACAGGAACTAAAGTGCATCATGGCCAGAGAGTTGGGGGTCCACAGGGGTTTCCCCTCGGGGTGGGGGCTCCAGCCATCCCCTCCTTCAGGGCAGTGGGGGAGTGTACAGAGGGGTCCCCAGGACCTCCAGCAGCAGCCCCAGGTCACCGCAGCCACCACAGACTCTCCTGCACCACAAGTTTCTAAAGTGCTAAGTCACCCAGCCCTTCGTCCAACGCTGCTGCTGCCCCGGGGAGGCACTGAGGGCCCAGAAACTGATTCTGCCTTCAACCACGCTGGGAGAGGAGGCCCCTGAGCAAGCCCCCGGGTCTCACCAGTGGCGTGGAGCCAGCTGCTGGCACCAGCGAGGAGCAGAGGGAACAGGTCTCACTGCCCTGCCGAGCACATTCCCACACTCCGGCTTTCAGCCTGCAGAGGCAAAGGAAACTCCTCTGCTCAGAGCGTTATGGAAACACTGGTTTCCATATGGTCAGGCGTGACAACTGCCCACATGTCCTCTGGCCAGCCCAGTGGTCAAAAAGGCTTCTCCAAGACTGAGGGCACCATGGGGCAACCTAGAACTTACCCAAAAGGCGGTTAAGAATTGCCAAGCAGGGGGTTGGGACAGGAGGGGGCTGAGCTTTGCAGGGCACGAGTTTTCTTCTCTATCCTGAAATCCCTAACTCTTCAACCAACACCCAACTTTCAGGTGTGCAGCCCCTGGGCATGGCACAGATGGCTTTGGGCACAACACAGCAACAGCGGGGGAGCGGGGCAGGAGCTGTTAAGGGACAGGTAAGGGCACTTGCGGGAGGTTTAGCAGCTCAGGGGAGAGGTAGAGGCATATAGTGTCTATTGGCTTTGTCTCAGGGAGACACCGAGTTGTCTGGAAGGATTTGCTGCTTAGCTTGGAGGGCAGGGAGCATTGGGACTGTTAAGGGGACTGGGTGGGGAAATGGGAGCTATGCAGGGGTGGGGGGTGGCCTTTCTGGGAAACTCCCTCACTTGGGTTATTCCAAGGGATGACACTGAAGGTTGATGGGCTCATGGGGGAGATATAAGACAGATTTCCTACCACAATGACTTCTGTGCTGTGCAGACTGTTTCTCAAGGTGGAAAAAGCCTTCCTCTGCTTCAGAGCCTGCTTCCAGGAATGTAAAAAGTCTGCTAGAGGTGTTTCTGGTGCCACTAACTCTCGTGGTGACGCACTCTGGCACGTGACAGCACATACCTCGGGCAGAGCAAGCAACACTTGTCTTTCACCTCACTGACCTAAGATACAATCGTGCTACTGCCACCGAAGGAGCCCCAGTGACCGAGAGCTAAGCTCCCTCTGGTAGTCCCAGGGGTCTGCTCCTGTCCCCTGCCCTTCTCCCATAAACAGATCAGGCTGCAAGGATGAGGAAGCAAAAGGAGTCAGGGAGTATTACAGGCTGGAAGCAACCTCATGGCAGGGCGCTGGCAGGGGTTTGTGATAGGTTTGGCTCTACTCAGAGGTTGCCTACAGGAAAGGGAAGGGTTGGGCCACCAGTGAAGCTGAAAGCAGATGGCAGGGTGTGCTGGCAGCCTGCAGACAGGAGCGACTCAGAGCCAGAGGGCTCCCCTGCCCCTCAGGAGTGTAACAGCCCCTCGCCCACACACACACACATGCACCCAGGCCAAACCCTGCTGTGACACCCTCCTCCAGGTGAGGATTTGTCCTCGCTCACGCTAATTAACCCTAAGAGAGAACACGGGATCGTTTCAGCATAGCCCATGCACAGCTCTCCACTCGTACAGTCACCTGAGCGTAGTCTGAGGAGCCTGACTCGTCCATACCTCCAGTTCCTCACGAGATGGTGGCCCGTTTGCTCACCCCTGCACAGGGAGGAGAGAACAAGGTGAGCATCGATGTGGGGAACAATCCTGTTGGGCTGGTTCCCATCAGTCTCTGTCGCAAAGGCCAAAGGCGTCACAGGACGCAGCAAGAATAGAAAATAATCTTCAGAGAGATTGTTTCCGGACATGTCCTTTCATCAAAAAAAATCACTCCTTCCCGCCGGGGAAGGACAGCGGTGACAGGGAAGGCCCTTCCTCTGGCTTCAGGGAAAAATCTGCAGTTCAAACTTGGGTGCCCACTCCAGGGCGCTCTTCACCACGGCCAGGGCAGCTGCTCCCAGCGCGACCGTCAGCCCCATCACCGCCAGCTTGACAAAGCGGTTGGTCCTTGGCTTTGTCAAGATGGATTTTGTCCGTTCCTCCCCTCGGGGCCGCTCCCTGAAGCGCTGCCTCAACACAGTGTCTGGTCTCTGCTGCACTGACGCCAACTCAAAGTCCTTAAAAGTGGAAGCCGCAGTTCTGCAAGAGAAGAAACTGGTCAAGGAGTGTCCCTGGCTCACCTGTGGGACCAGCCTCCTGCAAGGGAGGAAGATCTTCCTGAGGAAGCAAGACCTGGCAGGGGGATGTACAGAACACATGGGCTGCCCCACACTCACCGTTCAGCCTGCTGCTGAGCTGCCTCCCTGGCAAGTTCAGATGGTGGGAACTGGACAAAAAGGTCCCCAGCTTTGCTGATCAGAGTCTCGTAAGGAAGGTCCTGGGGGATCTGGGACAGGAGGTGGTGGACAGACGCCATGTCGCACTCGCAGTCCAGAACTTCCTGCTCCCGGTGCAGCACGATCTGCAGAGAGGAGTGAGAGCACTGAGGACAGCTGGGGAAGTGGGGACAACTCCCTGTCACTGGCCAGCACCCGCTTCAGAGCCGGAAGAGACAAACATTTCGCTTCTGGCTGAAGGACCTGCCCTTCCTCAAGGGGACACGCTGCAGCAAAGCAATCCCTGTCTGGGAAGAGAAGAGCCAAACCCTTCCCAAGACTCTGAGGACGTGGAAAGCCCCTTTCTGGTTAGTTCTATCTGTCTTCTGAGCAGAGCCTGCTACTGGCAGGTCAGAGACATGGGCAGAACCTCGCAGGGCTTGACTCTGCAGCTTGCCCTCAGAGATTTATTTGGACCCCCTAAAGGAGAAAGGGCAGAGGGAAAGAGTAGATGGACACACAGCGCAGAGCTGCCCCCAGCCAGACAGGGTCCCCAGGACTCAAACAAGTACCCAGCAGCAGGGCCAGCACATGAAAGCAAAGAAAAACACCAGGTCATGCTGCCTCCACGGCTCTGAACTGGACCAGCCTGCAGATCTGCACACCCCTACGCTGCCCCGAGCGATCCTGGATCCCAGGATTGCTGGCCTTGGGGTCCCGTGTAGAGTGGGGTGCAGCTGGGGGCAGCAGCAGCACTGGGTTTGCCAGCCTCCCTCTGCAGCCCCAAACTACCCCACCACACAACGGTTAACCCCGCTACCACCTCTGGCTAATACTTACCACAGCAGCAAAATAAATGGGCATCAGTGGATGACAAGCCAGGAAGAAGTCATATAATCGCACAACGTGCCTGAAGTCAGACAAAACGTGCCCGAACCAGGTGATCAGCCAGCTGAGAGCAAAGATGGTTCCCACCTCCGCACTGCACAGAGAGAAAGCGCTGTTAGATCAGCGTGGAAACAGCACTGAAATGCTCCTGGGCAATTCCTGCACCACACCCCCACACCTGGGAGGGGAGACAGATCTGGCTATCGGCAGAGCAATCAGAGCTCAGGCCAGATCCATGAACTGCACCTCTGCTACAACCACAAGGCAAATTACTGCTTGTTTCATATCCAGTAGGGTCCACAGTTTAGGTCCAAATGGCCTGCTTTCAGGAGAACCCATATATGTGATGTACCATGTCACTGGCACACTGACCTGAGGACAATGAAGTCCCACAGAACATTCAATTTCTCAGATTCCTGTTCAATTGTAAGGGTTTATTAACTTTTGGCAGTTTGCAACCAAGATTGGTACCCAAAGACAGACCCACTTGCTCAGAAAAGGACTCTGGACTGAACCTTCCCACTTACCTTCCTGCTTCTGCTTTATTCTGCCTGCACTCCACTTGTGTGTCCCTATTGCACAACCTGGGAATTATCCCCAGAGCTAGCAACAAACTACAGCAAGGCAACAGCACCACAAAACTGGGCAGGTAAAGCAGCTGTGGCAGCTTTGCATGATGCTGTCTGCAATCCCCCAGCCTTTCTGATACAGACTGCAGACCACTGGAGTGAAGACGACACCATTTAAACCCCTTCAAGACAGGCAGCTTGAGGGTATGCTTGGACAGAGTGCCACATGGCTTCAGACTGTCACCGTTAGCTGTGGGCTGTGTTGACTCACTCTGAATAAGCCACTGTGTTGCTGGGGACAGGCTGGTGAACAGCCCCATGAACAGTAACATGAGAGTGGCAGGGGAGAGCTATGGGGCTCGGAGGGAACGTCTGCGTACCTCTGCATGAAGTCATGCACCTCAGGGTTCACCTGGTCTATGATGGGCATCAGGTAATTCAAAATGTGCTTGGTATTATCCATCGTTGGGTCCATAAAATCCCTGAGGAAAGATTTAAGAGAAACTCTGTCAAGCAACCACGTCAGAGAGCTCTCCCTCCAGGGAGGCAACCAGAAGGTAAATAAACGTACTCGCAATAAACAGCTTTGCTGGCAGGGTGGCCCCCAGCCCCGAGGAATTCTATTTGGCACAGCCCCCTTCCTACCTATCTGGGACACACAGGGCTAATCTGCACAGAAAACCCGGAGCCAGATCACACTGGTGTCAGCTGACACTTCTTATTTTGCTGTAGTGCATGCACAAACCATAAAAGCTTTTCAGCATCTAAAAACTAACTCCCCACCTGGGAGAGGAGGGAGAATCCCCCCAAACCACTCCCCAGCTGAAGGCTTGTTCTCACTTCAGTGCACAAACAGGAGAGTTATTTGACTTGGGGCTCAGACCACGCTGCCCAGGGCTGTGTGAGGCCAAGTGGGAGGCATCGTCCTGAGCCAGCCCCCGGGAGCCACAGAGGCCCTGACAGCAGAGACGGCCAGAGAACTATGAATAATGCATGTGCGTCGGCTTTTTCAACTTCAAGAGATGCTACAAATTAACTGACAGCCTTCAATTATCCCTTCCCCAGAGCACAATTCGCTGCAAGGCCACGTGTTATCGTGTGGTCACGCTGCTCTCTCTCTCACAGCAGCCCTCTGGGTACGGACATGACAGGCAGCCGACCTTAACCCAAGGCTCTGCCTTCCAGGCTCCCCTTCTAGGTCAGCCCCATCTGCACAGGTGTCCCCACAGCCTGAGGACACACAGTCAGCTCCTTCCTCCCAGCTGAGCCCGCCGAGTACCTGAGATGATGCGTGGAGAGCTTTTCCACCAGAGCTGTGGCCAGTCTGTCCCCCACCACCAGGAGGAAGGTGACCACGATGTCATGGTAGCCCTGGTAGTAGTGCAGCTGGGGGTTGCGCTTGAGGACGTGGAGGATAATATCAATGAGCTCCTCCTGCAAGCCTTCCCTCTGGTCATCTGGCATCCCTGTGGGGACAGCATCAGGTGGTGGTGGGACAGGCTGTGTCACCTACCGGGACGTGCCACGGCAGCAAACACAGCTGCAGTACGCAAGGAGAGGATCTGTGCATTTACCGACCCACCTGATCCCAAGGGATGTGGTGCAAAGGGGAGGGAGGTAAAACTACTAGAAAAAAATATCCCACACCCTAATCTTGTCCCCCAAAACTCTGGTGGCCCGGGGGAAGCTGTCCAGTTGTCAGGTTGTTTAACCTTTGGAGCTGCAGTGCCTCTACCTGCGAGGAAGTCCCCGTGGAGGACGGGAGCAGGGTTTACTGAGGTTTGTACAGTGCTGCAAAGCGTGAGTTGTGCTGCACATCCAGCACTGCTGAGGACATTTTAATCATTTTTAATTTCCCAGGGGTTCTAGGAAAAAATTAAACAGGACCCACTTTCACAGAAACCGCGCCAACTGCATCAGATTGCAAGGCCACTATCGCCAAAACTTTGTATCGGTCCCCTGCTAACAACATGTGTTTAGGGACAGGATGTCACAGGAAAAACATTGTTCCTGCCATGCACAGCTGCAGCCAGTTCCTGGCAGTCCTTGTCAACAGATAAAATGCCCAAAGGCCAAGTAGAAAGTCCCAGCGGAGATCCTGCAATGACAAAGTTCTCCCTTTCCCTTGCTTCACTAATGCGTCTAAAAATAGGCAGGAGGCTGCCATTCAAGGGCAAAAAAAATCCATACCAGCAGACCCTTCAGGAATCAGGCTTGCACACAGCATCCGCACTCGAAAGAGAATCAAGAGTGAATCAACTGTTTACGCAAAATAAACGCAGCAGAAGGGAGGGAGCAGCTTCTGGCCAGAACCGAGGACTGTTGCGCAGAGTTAGATAGCTGCCGGATTAAATGTTTTATAAATAGCACAACAAGGCCCCAGCCACCCATCAGAATGAAACAACTGCAAAAACATTTTGCTTCTAAAGGTTCAGAGTTCTCTTAAATTTAGTGCAGGAGCCCCATTTTGAGACCGTTTCACACCAGAATTTGTTGTCAGAGCTGACAAACCTGCCTGAGCCAGACCACGCCCGAAAAGAAACTGCAGCAAATGGTACATTTCTCAAGTGCTCCATCTATCCTAATCCCATCCTGTGCACAACAGGTGAGGATCCCACAGGATCTGGGCCTTTCTGTGCTGCAAATGTTCAACGAGACTCAGCAGGGGAAGGGGAAGAGTAACCTTGGAAGGGCCACATCAAAACCCAGCAGAGGCAGCTGAAGGAAACCGATAGCTGCAGAACGGCTCCGCTGAATGAAGCAGCTCACGAGGAAAGGGCTTTCTAAAAGTCAGGCTCTCAAAGCAATGAAGTGTCACCTACTGCAACCCCCGAGTAAGATCTGAGCCAGGAGGAGCCCCCCAGCATAGACTTTTCTTCCCTGCAGAGTGGGAAGAGGAGAATCCCCTCTCACCTGGTGGGAAACGGCGCAGGGATCGCCGCACGTCCAGTAAGACTTGCTGGTAATCTTTATTGTCCTCTCGCAGCTCCTTTCCTGTTGAGAAAAAGAGGAAAACGATTAACACTGAGTAGCCCAAAGGTACCTGGAAGAGATCTGGACGAGGGGAGCAGGAGAAACCCTGCTGGAGGCAGGAGGATGATGCTGGACATACAGACACACCACCCCATTGTATGTCGCCTTTTCATACGTCACTCACCAGCCCTGGTGTGCGTTCTGACACTAACAGCACTTCAGTGTGGGGAAACAAGACTTACTTCTTTAAACAACATATGTAAAAACACTCAAACTGACACCGCTCCCAGCGTTCCTGGAAAGCTCTTTGCTCCACAATTATGCCATGCAATTCAAAGCGTGCTCAGCAGCAGCAAGGCATGATACACTGTGGAGACCACAAAGAGTAGTTTATTAAATGGAAATAATTTAGAAGAAAACTCCACCCACGGGTAGCTAAGATAGTTAAAACAGAAGAGAAAAGAATTTGCTGGCACACTGAAGTATCTATCACGTGAAATTAAGTGTTGTCTTCCAGCAGCTCTGACCATCTAACATAATCCGGCTCTTGACTGACGTGGGGGGATGCACACTTCTGAATGGCCACACATTCAGGAACAACAAAATCTGTCCTGGGGACAATGACTGCAAAAGCCACAGAACCTGGAGCTTCTGCATTGCTAAGGTTTAAAAACCATGCAGGTATCTCATCAGGAAGGTCATTTTCCCTGCTTCTGCTCTGACCAAACATGCAACAAACTGCTTCATCTATGCCTGGAAGAGAGAGCTTGGAAGAATTTTGGCCAAGCCAGGGCTCAGCAGAGCCACCTCTCCATGGCAGCAACAAAAATTAAGTTTGATACTTTCTGCTGCAAATGAAGTTACACACACCAGCGTGCCATTACATCGCTTGGGGCCACACCAACCGCATCCAAAGAGCACTCATTTCCATCACTGTCACTAAAGATAATAGCACCCTCACAGCACAATGGAAATGTTGTTTTTAGGAAGCCGTGTATTTCCAAATCTGCCATTTACATACACCACAGTGCGTGAAGCCACAGCGTTCAGGCTGCAGCACGAGTCCTCTTCGCACACGAGCTTGGTGGGAAACACACCAGTGTACACAGGGAGAAGGTAGGTCAGAAAGTATGTGCTTCAACCTCTGCGATTCTTCCTCTAGCACGCACAGAGATCACCAAGTCATTCTTCCAAAGCACCCAGGCCCAGGCTGTTCCATACCTGGAAGAGGGGGCAGGTCATCTGTATTAACACTTAGCAGCTTGGGCCACACTTTGCAACGAATCTCATCCGTCAAGAGTCCCCCCTCGCTGATCGCCATCCGCCTGAGCGCTGCCACGTCGATGGGGTCGCTGTTCAGAGCCTGATAAATTTCCGCCACTTTTCTTTTCTTCCTCGAATCAAAGTCTGTAAGAAGAGCACAGAGAGGCAAAGCTGACAGGCAGCAAACAGGGGGGAGCAACTCAGATCAGGGAGGGAAAAATCCACTCGAGCGACGTCACACACACAACAAGGGAGATGACAGGGGAGAGTTGACACACATCCTGCCAGGACAAGCTAGGGATGACCCCCGTGGGTGACCCACCAGCTCGCTGTCCCCATCTCCACAGGCATTGGGGGGCTTGCAGGGCACCCCCACCGCTTCCCTACCCACCCCACTGGTCCCACACTGGGAGCCAACTGCTGCTCCTCTTGATACTGGAGCCACCACCGCTGTCTGAGTGGGTCCCATACTCCCCAGCAGATCACAGCTCCATTCAGGACCGTGACGGTCGTGCAAAGCCATCCTGCAACTGTTTGCTCTCTGACGCAGCTGCCAGCTCAGGTGTCAAGTGTTTCCTACCACCAGGACTTCATGTTCCTACCAACTCCCAGCTAGGCAGCAGCTCCTGAGTGCAGCCACCCTAGGGAGAAGTGCGAGCATTTCCACAGACAGCAACAGTCACAGGAAAGAGCACAATTATACCAGAGTTAACAAATCACAAACATATCAACTTCTCACCCAACGAACTCCCCAGCTACTAGTATATGCACAGGTTTGCCAGTATTAAACCAATTTTGTGGAGCACATGAACTCTGGGGCGGGGAGGGAAGGGAATAACACACAAAGCACACAGTGCTTTGGTTTCGGGTGGGTTAATTGCACTTACAGGACACGAGAGCGCTTCCCAGGGAGCCGAGAAGGGACACTATTTCACACCACATCGTGGAATTTGTCACCGCTGACCCAGGTGAGGAAGAAGAGAGGTGGCCGAGAGCCCCCTGATATCCCACATTGGAGGAGATTCCACTAAGAAGGCTTTGTTGAGGAGCCACGGGGCTAGAGCGCAGGATGAGGCCACAAACTCTGCCTTTAGCTAAAGGCTTTTCCAACAGATCCAACTGCTTTTGGGAATCCAAATAAGGTTTTGCCTGATAAGCGACGTGTCCGAATAGGATTTGAGGTGGGAGAAAAATCAAAAGATCCCGATGGAGAAACAGCTGTTTCTCAACGCCGCGCTCTCCCGGCAGCGACTCGGGGAGCGCGTTCCTCTGCCCACGTGGCACTTCCAGCCTCTCGGCGCTGCCCCGGCCCCTCTCCCTGCTCCCGGGGAGCTGCCTGTGAGAGCCTGGCTGGAAGTACAGCTTTCTGCAGCGTCTGAACAGGAGACAGCAGCAGGACGGCAGGCTGCTCACGCACAGATGCTAAGTAGGTCAAGGGGGTGGACGCTGTCCCTTCTCAAAGTACCCTTTTTAACCACTTTTCACATGAAAACAAGCTGTAACAGCCTAGGAGAGATCTCCAACCCGCCCCTAAACGCCAAGTTGCCCATAACGTTAAAGCTTCTAATACGCAATGACCACAATTTCCTTTTGTTTTCTTTCCCACCCCTTGTGCAAGCAAAGTTATTTGCACATGAACAGGAACCAGCTCTGCTCAGCTGGTGGTTCCCTATCCCCTTCCAGAGGCTGTCACATACCAAAGCCTTGGGAAGGAGGAGACAAAGCCTATGGAAGAAGAAACTCCTGTTCACACGCAAAGAACTTAAGGAGCAGTGAGAAGAAGCAGCATATAGTGCAGGCTCCTCCTCTAAGATTTACTGGCAAATAACCCAATATTTGCACTGTTTAAATGTTTAATACAGCAGACAATATCTGCAAGCATTACAAAAAGGAATAAAAAATATCTATTTTCAAACCCACAGAACGTTAAACTCGTGACATCAGTTACACTTTGAAAAAGAGCCAGAAACACCAGCTCAGAGCACAGGGGCCGTACTTCAAACCCTACCCCCACGGAAGGTTCCACCAGAGCGGCCACGAGTGGATGTTTATTCACTCCCGGGGCTAAAAACAGCGGCTGGAAGAGTTCTCACCGGAGACCCCCCCAGCACGGCACCCCCTGCCCGTGGGGAAGGCGGAGGATCTCCGTGGGCTGAAGAGGGGTGACTGCCGGGACCGGGGTGCCGTTCCACGGGAGGAACCAGCCCTGCCATCCCAACGTGCAGGCACCGGGCAGCACCGGCACTTCCACGACGCTTGGCAAGGCCGGACCGACCCCGGGGCTGCTGCAGAACCACCGTCTCACCACCCCCCCTCTCCCCCCCGGTTACTGCCGTGATGAGCGGCCTGGAAAAACGAAGCCCCGAGAGCGTTTAAGGGGCCCGGCCTCCAGTCGGGAAACGGCAGCCCCGGCTGCTGCCCGCGGCCTGGGGGGGGAGCCCGCTCCAGCGCTGGGGAACGGGGCCAGAGAGGCGGCGGCGGCGGGAGAAGGAGGGAGGGAAGGCCCGAGCCCACCGGGACCCCCCGGGACCGGCTCCGAGCGCAGCGCCGAGCCCCGCCCCACCGCTAGAGGGCGCCGCCGCACCCGCAGGGGGCGCTCCAGCCCCCACCCGCCTCACGGAAATCGCTTCCCCTCCTCACCCTTCCCACTCCTCCCTCCTCCCGCCAGGCCCCTACCGTGGCCGCCGACACCGTTGCGCGGCGGGCTCCGCCGGGCCATATTCCCGAGCGCTGCGGCGCATACCGGGTCGGAAAACGGACCGGACCGGGCCGGGCTGGGGCTCGGCGCTCCCCGCGCCCTCCGGTCCCGGTCCCGCCCCCCGGCGCTCGCCGCTCCCCCCC